GTAGCTGTAACCACCCTCAAATAAATAACTAACAAGTGGTATCCAATAGAAAGAAATATGGGAGGTAGATATGAAACAAATTAGAGCTTGTTGCTGTACTCCAGGGTGTTAAGATTGCTGCAGAATTAAATCTGTTCTTTCATTAGACTATGTGATAAAGTTGTATAATGTTTGCTAAACTCCATGTCTAAAGATACTGGAAGTGGCTGGTTACATTCACAAAGGCCATACTACAGACTTACTTATCAAGGGTGATCACATCTTGATGTCCACTAAAATGCCGAGCTAGTCGCAAAGCAAGGTCATTAGCTTCAGACCTACAAAATAATAAATACATTAGGGGACTCTACAAAAAAGAGATTTCAACTCCCGGATGAGATAATTAGAAAGCTCTTATGAACAAAACGTTTATGCTAAACCAGAGAAGGGGTGTGGAACAAATGGATACAAATAAACAATCAGCACAGAATGACCCTATTGTCATTATACAGATTAGAATGTTGGATTCTTGATGTAAATACCACATAAGAAGGGAAAAAAGCTCTTTGTATATGCAAGAAACAAAGGGATGCTTTATTCCTCTAATCCTGTAGCTCTGGTTGCTTGTGGGCACTTATCTCCTCTTTGTATACATCATACCATTCCACAGAAGGGCTAGCAGCTGGAGGAACAATGTGACTGCTACCCATCTTAGAGGTAAAGGCCCCAACATCTTTCCAGCCTACACAAGGACTGGATCCTTCCCAGTGCCTTGTAGCAAAGATGAAAACACAAGTCTACTTGAGAACCCAGCAATCTCTTAGCATTGAAAGGTGCTTTTTAACCAGCAGGTATACATCAAACAGTCTGTAAAGAGGCTCACAAAAGTTCTTTTGTGGGTCAGTAAAGACTGCAAACAAAACAGACCTTTATAAAGGAAGGCAAACTCCTATAAAACCTAAGGAAACCCCCTCACACCAATGATCCATTCACTGGTACCACAAGAAATAGGTCTTCTAAAATGTGTAAAAGGGAGAATATGGGGGCTGTTATATGACTGAAAAAGGCTTTTATCTAGTAGAGATACGTGTGTATTCTCCCGCTGTGCTATAAGAGCACTGAGGCATATTCAGAGACAGGTACTGACGGGTTCATAGGGAGAGATACAGGTTCACAAATCTGCTTAAACTTAGGAAGGAAGGTCTCCATTTAGCAAGTTTTGTAAGGACTGCTGGATAAAAACAGAATGCATGATACATGAAATAATTTAGAAAACAAAGTGTGATCAACAGATACCTCCTAGCCAGAACAGGGTATATTTCTTTGCTGAATGCTAATATTTTTTCCTCTCCCTCTTTCTCTCTCCAATTCTAAAAACACTGAGTTATTTGCAGAAATACTCTTAATATTACTCTTGCTCCTGTCGCTTCCTTTGGTCTTTACAGACATGGATTGTCATTGGTTTAAAGTTTCTGGAGAGTGGGTCAAATTTGCTCCTCATAAAATCAGTAAGAGATCTGTCACTGACTTCATAGTTAGCAAGATTTAGACCAGTATTTTGTGTCCATTAGGCAAAACCAATCAGACACTGAAGGACCAGCCCACAAGGCAAGTGAAACTTCAGGGATTTATGACAGGGATAAAACTGGTGCAATGTATATATTTTTTAAATCTGGGATTAGAAATACATTGGAACATGTAATTTATATTTTAGGTTAGTTGAATGAAATTAAATACATTTCCATTACTTACAGGGTGAAATGGTGAGGAAGCAAAGATTTTCTAGTTCTGGCTTTTCTCCTGAAATGTTTGTTTAATGAGGGGAAGCAGTAAATGATAAACTCTCTATATAATTTGCTCTTTAATTTTAAAAAGTAACTTCCGTGCCTGGATGAAGTGCCTGAACAATAGCCTGGAGACAGATATGACGGGCTAGAGCCACAAAACTATTATGACCCAACTAGCAGCTTCACAGATTTCTTTCCCTATGCTAACTTTGTTCTGGAGGAAGAGGCTCTGGGGCTGAGAAGATATATTTAAATATAACAATAGAATAACCAACACAATCTGATTGTCAGATGCACTGGTCAGCATGAGACATGGATACATGCATACACACGCTAAAGGCAATAGAAGTTTCCGGTGAGCATCACCTTTGAAAAATCTTGCCTCTTTTATTTGCGTATCTATGTGTAGGTTTAGAAACTTAATTTCAGGCAAAAAATGGCTTGAAAATTTAAGTCGAACTTCTTAAAAATGCCTTGCCTTCATTTCAGCGTTCCTGTGGATCAGGGGAGCTAACAAACTGTTTAAGGTAGAGTAGTTTACTTTTCACCTTTCCTAATGTTTATTTCCCTAGTTTTGCATACCATTCAGCCTAAACACAGAATACAGACTAGTCTATTTCACTTTTCATTAAGATCAGTTACACTTTCCAGTTCTTATGCATTCAGGCAATACACCCAACATGAGGTTGTAAACTCCTCAGAGGACTATTTTTTACCCTGAACAAAAAACCCCAAAAAACCTCTGGCCTGGCACTATTGAAAATAAATTTCCACAGAAACATTTCTATCACTTCTATTAAACACTTTTTACAAGGCTTAAAATGTGAGCTTGCGTTAACCAGACACTATCCTTGTTTACAGAAACAAAATAATGGCAATGAAAAATACTTCAGACGTACCCAGAATTAACAAAATAGCAGACAGAGAGTTTTTCTGGCATGGTATCAGTAAGTCGCTTGGCATACTGGACAAGATTGTCATGGAGGAATCGGGAATTTGTGTTGAGCAATTCCATTTGTTTCACTGCAGCCTTTATGACATCTGGATGGCTGTGGCCAACTGAAGAAGACAAATTATAAATACTTACTAGCAAGTAATAATTTCTAACTGAATCTGAAACACAGTTGGGGAACACTCCTAAGTTTAGCATTGTCAGACTTCTTGGGAAAAGTATTCTGTTTTGGTTTGTTTTTGAATGGGGTAGAAATAAATCCAGGCACTATTACAAACTAAGCAACTTACCATGTGCAACATTGTTGATGCAGTCCAGGTATTTTTCTCCATTTTCATCAAACATATACTGTCCCTGAGCTCGCACTATCTTGAGAGGGTCCTTAGCAAAGAAAACTTTACATGATGGCCTTAAAAAAAAGTATAAAACAACATTATTAGCTCTTCAGGTATTGCTCTTCCATAGACTCTTGAGGGAGTTTCTGACTTCTCCACTTGGAAAACTCTATTTTAGGACATGTCTGAGAAGCAGACACAAATATTTTTTTCTGCCATGCAGTTGAAAAGGTATAACTGCTTAAAATACAAATGCTCTTATTGACATCAGTGGCAAGGCATCCATTGACTTTAATGGGGAACAGAAAGGCCCTTACTGAGGTTATTTTCAAGCCCTGTGTCTGTATCCCAATAGGTATCAGTGATTCCCTGTGAGCCCAGTGGAATGCAAATCATACTGTATCCTTGGATATCTGGGTATGTTTGCAGGATGGAGTCCTGTTGTTTCACACACATTATGAAATCAATATCAAATGGACTCTATGGAAATCAGATTAGGTTGTTCATAATTTTAACTTTAGAACCAATTAATATATCATGGTGGGAGACCATATTGAATTTGATGTATGTTTTTTATATATATATATATATATATATATAAAATATTAGCTGTATACATTTTACATTTCAAAACAAAATATCTATGCACTACATGGGCTTAATCTTCAGACAGACTAATCACCAATTTAAAAAACAAACAAACCATAGTCCTAGCGTACTGAGATTTTCTAGGTAAAATCTTTAAAAGCAGTTAACTCCTTTTTTCAAAACCACATTTGCCCAACTGCCAACCTCCCAGGGTCGGTTTTGAAAAAGCTATGCCCTCCCTCATTTCTCTTTTCTGGACACTGCAATTATATCATGACATTCAGACTTATTACTAAGCATTTGGAAACTCTAATATTTCCTTAGCCTAAAATGAATGGGAGTATTTCTAAATAACCAAACCAGCTATGCTAAAATATCTAGAGTTTCTTAGTGACCTCCTCCTGTGAAACAGATCATGAATACCAACTATAAATGTTACTCAGAAATATCTTACTGCTTGAAATATACATTTATTTTTCTTGTCAGAGTTTCCTGCCTGATCAAGTACATACCTATGGAAACCTTTTGGGAACTGTCTCCCCTTTACTCTGAAGCAGCACACTGAATATCAAATATAATTTCCTGAATTTTTTCATTAAGTTAGTAGTTGAAACACCCTTCCATGAGATTGCCATTGCTGGCTGCCTCACAGAGCCTGATCCTGTAATCCTTTATCAGGCAAGATGTACTTAAAATAGGATCTGACCCTTAAAGATAGGAGTGATTTATGAGAACATTGGTCTGTAAACATATAGAACAATGCTATATAGACCTAGACCTTTATGAATATAAGTAAGCATCTTAGCTGAAGAATAATGTTAAGAAAAAATCAGTGAGCATTATCCTTTTATACCTAACAGTCATATTTTTGTATGGTAAGACCTAGAGAGATACAAATCAAACACTGCCTGCTTTTAGATGAAGTTTTATATTTTAACTTATAGTTGCAAATCTGTAGGGATCAGAGACACACACGGACAGGACAGCAATTCACCTTTTCCTTCAGTCCTGACTCAGATCAGAAGCTAAACAGAATTTGCTAGACTTATTCTACTTCCCATTATATCACAACAGCACACTTGGCTCAGAGGAAGAATTGTTTTTCACCACACCATCAATATTTTAACAGACTCAAGTCAACATGCTCAACTCCCACCCCCACCTCCATCTTTCCAAGGTGAAAGTTTTGAGCACCAATTAACCAGAAAATAGGCTAAGGAAATATTAATTATCAATATTAACTGTCCAATATTAATGATCAATATCAATACTCTTAAAATGTGTTCAGGAATTCTATTCTCTTTTACAACTTTAAGGCATTGCTTTGGTCTGATCTGACATGTCCAGTATATTGGACAGGGTTAATTTTTGAGTCTGACTATGTCAGGAAGAGGCAAAGTTTTAATGATATGAATGACAACTATAGAGCCACCCTCTTTCTTTCTTCCACCAGTAAGCTATAACAAAGCCATACTATGTACAACCTAAGAACAGTGCCTGCAGTATCACATAAATAAAACTGTCAACAAATGCAGAAGGTAACTAAGGAAGCTGGTTTAGCACTTTATGCATCAGCTATCAAAAGATTAAACTCCCTAGAGCCATAAATTCACAGGCTAACAGGATTGACTCAGCTCTTATGCACTCCTGGGGTGAATGAACTGAAAAAGCACGGTGGTTAAGACCTTGAAGAGGAAGATCTTGCAACCGTAGAGTAGTAGAGCTGGAAGGGACCTCCAGAAGTCATCCAGTCCAACCCCCTGCCTGAGGCAGGATCATCCCTATCGAAGCCATCTTATAAACCCATCATCTACAGTCAATTTAAGACTACTGTCAACCCTGACAACACAGACCTAGCATCCTAACTATGGCTGCCAATGTCCTGCTTGTATGAAATGTTGTCAATATATGCTCAAGAGATCATGGGTAGAGGACCGCACCTCACCTCCTGCTACAGAGGAAAGCAAACCCCCCCTGTACCAGTCTGACCCTGGGGGAAAATTCCTTCATGGGCTGGGTTCTGTTGTGAGTTGCAAAGGTAACCCAGTGACTGCCCTGCTGAGATGCTGCTTGGCACAATGTGCAGCATGATTTGGCCAAAGCCTACTGATGCCGTGGTCAAACAGAGGTAGTAAGGGACCTCCAAAAGGCATCTGGAAGGGGCCTCCATAGGGCATCTAGTCCAACCCCCTGCCTGAGGCAGTATCACCCCTGTCCAAACCATCCTGTACAACCACAGTCTAAATTTCACAGAAGATCTACCATCAACCCTGACACAACACTGACCTAACACCCTAACCTGCCACAGGGTAAGCCAGGGAACCACAGCAGCGAATGTCCTGCTTCTGTGAAATGTTGTCAATAGGCTTGCCAACTCTCTTTGAAGCTATTCTGGGAGGTTTCATCCCATGACATCAATGCCATTACATCAGGAAGGCAAATACACATTACTATTACATTATAAAAACCCACTGGACTACTATATAAATCAGATTCCACATTTCATATTTATTTTAATACATGCCCTATCATTTATCTCCTGGGTGACTCTCAGCAGCCTCCTGGAGATTTATATCTAATTCCTGGAGACTGCAGGGAAATCCTGGAGGGATGCCAATCCCAGAACTTGTCAATAGATGCTCAAGAGGTATATATTTATAATTCCAGTAGAGATGCAATAAAACTGTGAAGTTCTGCTTTCCAGATATCTACTCCATTTGTGTTTCACAGAGCACTATTAGTTACTTCCAGTGCCTTCGTATGATCTGTAAGAGCAGCTGTTTGTAGCGAGTCCTTGGGCAACATTTCCCCCCTCTACTACTACTCAATACTGGCTGGTGACCTCCCCACAGGGGACCCTGTGCTTCTGGGACAAGGACAGAGTTCAGGCCTTGCTGACATTCCCCGAGTGGACAAAAATCACAGCAGCTCCCTGAGGCCTTCTGCTGATGGGGCTCTAGTCTGTGGAGGAGCTTTGTTTGAAAGAGATGGGGGGCACCTACAAGGGGTGGAAGAAGTGAGGCTGGCAAAATCCCACTGGGTGCTGTGCATCTAGTGCAGGTGCGGGTGCCCGCTGCAACTGCATGGGAATTATGGGGACAGGAAACCCTGGGGAGCAGAGGGACACATACATGCAGACACATGCACACATGAACACACACCTGCATGGATACATGCACACACACACACACACACACTTATGGGCACATGCACACATGAACACATGCACACACGCTTGCAGGCACATGCGCACATGGACACTTGCACACACATACACACACAGATACTTACAGATGTATGCACACGCGCACACACACTTATGGATACATACATGCACATACACACATGGACACATGCACACGCACATACGTATGTTCATATATGCACACGTACACACCTGCATGGATACTTGCACACATGAACATACACACACGTGCACATGTACACACGCATGGACACATACACATGCACAAGGATACTTACACACATATGGACACGTCGCACACACATGCGCACACACACACACACACACACACACACACACACACATACCTGTGCACACGCGCACGCCCACATCTCCCCCTTTACCCTTGCCCTTGCTGCTGGCCGGGCGCGGCGCGCGGAGGCCACCCCCGCTCTCCCGCCCGCCGCTCACCCGATGTGCTTCCTCCGCAGCGCCAGGGTCTCCGCCTTGCTGTACACCTCGCTCATGGTGGCGGCGCGCTGCCCCGCTCCGTGCCCGGCTCCCTCGTCCCCGCCTGCCCTGCCTTGTCCCTGGAGCCTGCTGGTGCCTGGCCGGTGCCTCATCTTCCTTTTATCCCCGCACGGCCGAGCCGCTGCCAAAGCCCTCCCCCCCTCCGCCTCCGCCCCTGTTGCAGCTGCTTGGCACCACCTCCCGCTAGACTTTGCCCCGTCCCCTCAGCAAGGAGCCATCCTCCCTCCTCCCCCAGCCTTGCCACCACGTACCAGGGCCTCTGCCTTCCCCCCTCCCTTGCAAGTGTCCCACTCCCGGGTTTTGAGCCCTGTCTGTCCTTAGCAAGGGGTTGAACCCCCGTCCCAAATTCACCACAGGGCTCTTGGCATTGCAGCTCGGCCCTTTCCTCGGGAAGGCCTGTTAAACATTGCCAGAGGGGCTGCTACCTCTGTGGATGATTTGCTTTTATAATTTATTGACTCAGGCGGTGAGGTTGAATTACCTCAGCATAAGAGGGATTTCAAGCCGGGAAGTGCTGTTTTACTATTAGAATGGCTTGGCCAGACCACACCGAAGGGTCTTTCTGTGCTGACATAATTCAAAGGAAATTACATTTTAGCCCCAGAACCCCTCTGCTGCTAGAGAACTAACATCTAATCAATGTTTTAACTGAAAGGGCAGGAAAATCCCTACAGACCATGGTTTTGTTACCTGTTTGCACTGCGCTTGCCAAGACGGGGCTGATCCATAACTGGGGGCCTTTGCAAAGGTGCTGCCGCTGCTGCAGTAGTACCTCCAAAATACATACAAAATAACCTAGGAATCCAATTGGAATCTGTCATCTTGCTTCGTCACCATTGAATTCATGTGTCCTCACACTATTTTGAGGAGGTAAAGATCAGGTGTTAGGTCTCACTTTAGCCCCGTGCATGAATTGTTGCCTTCCTCCTCCCCAGCTCAGCCCAGGATGCTGTCTTTCAACCCAGGATCTATACGCTTCCATCCAAATAAAAGGAAATTCTCTACCTGTCACAGCCAGGAAGGAAAATTTTCAGAAACTGAACTTGAAACTGGCATATATTTGACTGGATTAGTTGGTAAAAGTATTCTGCTATAGGTATGAGGCCCTCAAACAGTGATAAGCTTTGCCTGAAAAAGAGTGTTTGTACCCGACAGCTTGCAAAGAAGAATGTTTCCAACTATTTTAGAAATAAGAGATATCTGAAATAAAAGATGGCAGATTTACCCAAGGAACTTTGTCTGCCTACATCCTTAGACCAACACAGCTACAACCAACACCCCTGATGCCAGGAAAGGGGCATCTGTACTGGTTATGGCTTATATCAGTGTCCTGAACAGAATAAACTATGCTGGAAAAAACATTTTGGAATGCTACAAATGCATCGGTACCAGTATAGAAACATCATCAATATCACAGCCCCATTCAGTTGTTATGCTGGCAAATCTCTTCCAGTGGAGACCTGTTATACATATAACTGACGTCATGTTGTTTGCCTGAGTGAACAGGATTTCTGAAATGGGCAAATACCCCAATTCATTTCAAGGTGGTGTTAAGGCAAGGATAAATGGCAACATTGCCAAGTTCTCCTCAAGGCACTTAAAGAAAGATAAAAGTGATCAACTTGGGAAGATCTGCAAAAATGAATATGTAAAAATGAAAAATGCAATGAATAGCAAAAAAAATGAATAGCCACTCAGGGAGGAGAAGCAGACTATAGACATTTACAGATGGATGGAAGAAGCTGCCAAAGACTTTGGGTGGGTCAGTGTTGTGGAGAAGGGGGATATAGGTGATGTAAGGGCAGAAGAATGTACACACACTTGCATAAGGCCTCAGTGTACGACAGAACGCCATGTCAAGCCCTAGCCTGGTGTCAATGCTTGTTTACTTCCTTTTTCTCTTGCTGTCTTTTCTAAGCGCTGCAAGAAAATGATGTATGGTTCACAGCATGTTGTAATAGACATGACTCAGGAAGTGCAGATTTCATACTGATCCCTTTATTAAACTCATGTAAACAAGAAAGAAAGCACTGCCCAGACATTATTCACTGTGCTTTATTAGTGTTTTATTATGAAACGAACGTGTGTGCCTCAACTGGAAAAGGGGATGGAAGAGCATTTAAGGACAAGCCATTTGCTTCTGTTGTCTGTGTCTGCCCTCTGTTGGTAAAAAAAATACAGTCTGATGTCTGGCCATTAGAATTCTGCGCGCAGTGTCATAAAAATATGATTGGTGGTAAGGAAGATTATCAATAGGAAGTTCATTGGGAGATGTGCTAACAGTTGCTTAGTAAAACAGGCAAAGGCCAGATAAGAGCTAGAAATAGATGGTTAGAGCTCAGCTTGAGAAATCTTTACATGGACATGTCAGGGAACAGAAGAAATCAAGCAACCACCTACCCCTCTGGCTCACAGTGTTTGTACCCCCTTGTCTAGAATCAGCATGAAATTTGGTCCAGACACAGATTATGCACTGTCTCCTCTTGATTAGCAGAGGCCAGGTTCAATGACTATGCCAGCTGGAGCCTCATCTTTCCACTGCTTTTTTAGGGATAGTGCAGCTGTACATTGTCCCTGCCTCCAAAAACACATACACAAGCCTGTGCTGTGAACAGCCCACTACAGGATAAGTGATTCAGTGGACTGATAAATAGTTTTTAAAATAAGATATGTCCTATTTTGCCATCCCCATTCCTTTTGCTTTCTACATATTTTTTCTTCATTATCTCTCTTCTTTTTTCAAAGACTGCCATTGTTTATGTTGGCACAATGTGATAAGAAAGACATCAAAATAAATATAACAGTTGCCACTGTTGACATGGATAGCTAAAGTTGGAGCCTCATTGAGAGAAAGCAGCATTCAGTGACCACATAAGGACAAGTTCCCACCACAACATATTCTGCAATTATAACCTTGTAGCATCTTTGAGCATAGTGAGTATGACAATAGTAGCTGGCCAAGCAAACTGTTAGACCTATGGAATTGTTGGCTGGAGTTTGTCTACGTGTGAGCTTATTCTGTGGGCCTTTCCTTCTATTCCATTGTGAAACAACTGCAAATGCAATCATAAGTTGAATATTTTGTTCTATTTTAAACTTTAGCATCTACCATTTTTAGATCCCTGCCTCACTATTCTATTAGGTCATCAGGCAGTTTCTTCTTGGTTGGCTGCCTTCTACAAGGCTATCTTCATATAGCAGATTGGTCAAAATAGTTTAATTTTCCTCTTGATCATATCAACTATTCTCTCTCTCAGCATTCCTTTTTCTAATTATCTTTCTGATGAAGTCTTGCAAGCTCATCAAAAGCAACTATTTATACATTTCATTTCAAGGGCCAGCAGCTTTCACTGTTGGAGGGCTGTGTCTCTACTGCATAGATGGGGTCTGAAAACATGTATATTTTGAGCAGCCTGACTTTTGCATATATAAAGATTCCCTTGAGTCTCCATATCAGCTTTAATGCTGCCTGCACCATCACCTACTGCACCATCACCCAGAAAGCATCTATCCAATTTTGGAGTGGCTGGAGGTGACAGGTAGCACCAGCATGCAGTCCCTGAGCTGCACACCTCACATATCTCGTGGGCCACATGCTTCAGGGATGTTTACCCCCCCCCCACTGGAATCTCCCTTCTGTGCCTTTCCCTGTTCCCCATGAGCAGCACACAGCCCCCTCACTCCCTCCTGCCAGAATTGCCAACTGTCACAAATTTATATACAGTCCAAAAAAAAGGCTCAAAATGCCTATCCACAGAGTCTGTAAAAAAATGGAGCTGCCTATAAAATATCTAAGTAACCGTGAGCTTGATTGAAGATTCAGCCCTGAAAAGTCTGGAGGCAAGCACTTATGGACAGACAGAGCAGAGCAGTGCTACTTGGTGTATGAGCTTCAGGGAGCATTCTCTAAGGGTTTTGTAGCCCATAGGAGCCTCTGTAGCCCCACTTCCCACCAGACATGTGCTGCTGCTGTTGCTTCTCATCACCTGCTAGGTCACGGGTAAGCAGACAGTAGTGCTTCTTTGGAAGTCCATGGTGAGATAGGTTGGGGAGGTAAGGCAGGGGAGTGAGCTGGGGGACAGGATGGTACAGGGTATAGTTCATAGAATCATAGAAGTAGGATCGGAAGGGACCTTGTAGATCTTCAAGTCCAACACCCTGCCTGAGCAGGAGAAAAACTGGGCTCAGATGACTTCAGCCAGGTAGGCATCAAGCCTCTTCTTAAAGACCCCCAGGGTAGGAGCCAGCACCACTTCCCTTGGAAGTTGGTTCCAGATCCTAGCTGCCCTGACTGTGAAGTAGTTCTTACGGATGTCTAATCTAAACCTACTCTCCAACAACTTGTGGCCGTTATTCCTTGTTATGCCAGGGGAAATAAGGTCTCTCCCAAACCCTTCTGGTCCCCCCTACTGAGTTTATAGATGGTCACCAGGTCCCCCCTCAGCCTTCTCTTGTGAAGGCTGAACAGGTTTCATGGTTGATGCTAAACCCCTAAATTTGAACTCAGCCCTTGCCTGGGGCCTGGAAGAAGGGTTACATTTACATTATGTAAAACACATGCCAATAAAAACATGTCAAATTTGGTTATCAGTAAAAAGTTTGCAGATTGTCAGTAAAAAAAATGTTGTCAGGAGTTCACAACCCTGGCTGCCACACAGGTTTCATCAACAGCTGACCTTGACTGCTGACTTTTCCCATTTGTAAAAGTTTTACAAAGATGCTAGCAGCTTCTTCCCCAAACTGATCATCTTAGCATCCATCTTGTCATACCAAGTCAAATGTCTTTTTGCATTGATGCAGTTGAAGACTTCCTTGTCAGCCTCTCCTTAGTCATTTATGCCAATCTTGTTGCTTGTCCTTAGGATTTATTTATCGTCACAGTGAAGCATAACTTCACTGGAAATTGTAGCCGTTTGAATTCAAAAGGACAATCAGTGGGAATTATTGGTATTCTGCGAATGAAAATCATCTCTCCCTTTGTGCATCCAGTTAAAGTGGTGACCTCTATTATATACTTTTTTAAACTAATAATGTGAAGCCTTGCACTGTTGCATAATTTTGGGGCATCTACATTTCT